AACTACTACGCGTTGAATATCCACGTATTTTTAAACTTCAAATATGTTTCGAACTTTCTTCATTTATAAGAACTAGACTGGATTACTACGCTTGGATTAATTACGCGTTAGATTACCACGCGTTGGATTTCTACGCTTAGAATTACCATGCGTTGCATTACTACGAGTTGGACTACTACGCGTTGAATATCCACGCGCTGAATTACTACGAGCTGGATATCCACACGCTGGATTACTACGCGTTGGATATCCGCACACTGGATTACTACGCGTTAGATTCCTACGCTTAGAATTACCACGCGTTGCATTATTACGCGTTGGACTACTACGCGTTGAATATCCACGCGTTGGATTTAGTACGCGTTGGATATTCACACGCTGGATTACTACGCGTTAGATTGCCACGCGTTAGATTCCTACGCCTAGAATTACCACGCGTTGCATTACTACGCATTGAACTACTACGCATTGAATATCCACGCGGTGAATTACCACGCGTTGGATATCCATGACATCCTCTTCAACTAGAAATTTAGCTCCAACCAATCATAATCAAAGATTGTTAAATACAAAATACTGACATTTTAATTTTCTTTGTTTATTTTAACGTTATAGCTGTGAGTAGTTAGTTTTGATCATACAAAATTGTATGACAAGGGGTTAATACGCTCAGAGAATCAACTCTGAAGAATTTTGTGAACGTCTTCAATTTCTCAGCGCTTAGCTTCACCTACATTCGAAGCAGTGTATCGATTGTCCGTGTGGATATTTCGTAAATGACACAGTTTTTGAATGTAGCACGCTTTAAACGCTGTCTCGTTTAACGCTAAGTTAATGCGTTCACTGTCAGACCACTGGCTCCAAGAATAATCGGTCTCGCTTTGCGGATGACACTTTCGGTTTGTTTCGCCTGAATTCTTAATACGTTCACTGTCGTACTGCAGGGTTAGACGATGACTTCATTTTTCTACTCTTGGATCACTTTTCTGCTTGAACTGGTAATACGGGTCTGTCAAAATGAAAGTTATATGAGGGAGTTCATTGTTGTATTCTGCAATGCATATTTGGACTTCGTTTCGCAGGAACTGTATATTGACTGTCAAAGTGACAGGTATACGAATGATTTTATTTTTGTCGTTGTAAATGCAGTGTAGTTGAACTTTTCTACCTGACGTGGTAATGTATTGAATGTCAAAAGGAACGATATGGGAATTATTTTATTTTTGACTTCTGAAGTACAATATACTAGCACCTTGTCAACATATTGACTGTCAAATGAAAATTATATGAATGATTTAATTTTTGTTCTTTTGAATGAAACACGATTGGACTTAATTTATTAACATAACTACAGGGTGAAGATTGTATAATATACTCCTTAAGTTTTGTTTTTTTGAATGCATTGTTTCAAGCTTGCTCCATTATGAACGCCACAGTAGAAGTAGTGATGGCTACTGTTTGCATATCATAATAGGAGCGTATTAAAATTTGTAGAATATTTGTATTAATTTTTTAATCCGCTGCTTCAGTTTACTCTCTTAAGTTGCTGATGTAGTTTTATTAATTTTATGCATCTGTATTTGAAGCAATTTAACTTTTGTACTTTTTTTAATCTCCTCGAAAGTGCATGACTTTGATGTTTTAATTTTTTATCAAATTTTCAGTCAGATTAGCAAGTGAATTTCTTCGAAGATTATGAACACTACTTTGTATTTAAATGCCGACTTTGTATTTAACGGTAAAATTGAGGTAAAATTGAGGAAGATACGTAAAGTGAATTTTTCTAACTAAAGTAACGAAGTGTATTTTTATAATTTAAGAGAAGTGTATTTATTTTTGTAACTTAAGAGAAGTGTATTTATTTTTTTGACTTGAAGGGTTGTTACCGAGCATGATCCCGTTGCGTTTCATTATCTCGATTAGCTTGTCACTCGTCGCTTGGAAGCTTGAGTAATTCGGCCGAGTTCGATGTAATTCAGGTGTTTCATTTATCACTTGAACGATTCAGCTAAAAGTAGGGAACGTAGGGGAGAAACGTTCTCGGATTAAAAAAAAATTTGATTGATAGCTCTATTTTATACTCGAGGTACTTTTTGGTACTATTGGATATTTTACAATCTTCAATTCAGACTGCAGGCTATTACGTTCTTTTCTCAGAGTATTAATTTATTTTCGTAACATGAGATATAAATTGGAAAAAGAAGCGAAATGTACTGTTGAAAGAAATTGTACAAGATGGGAATTTCAAGTTATAATTTATGAGAAGCCATTTCTTAGAGGATAACTTAAGGAAGCTACTCAATGTCGAACAGTCACTTTGAAGTCCTACTACTCACAAATTCTAAAAGACTAAAATTAAAAAACTAAAATTAAAACAAACTAAGAGACTACAACATATTTGCATATTCCTAAAATAATACCTAATTTCAACATAAATTAAATATTTTCAAATATGTCCAATAACAAACGTCTCCTCGGCTTTCAAAACTGCGGCACTCGTTCGAAAATCTCCACAACTGCATTTAAGAAATGTGTCACAAAAAGGAATCAAGTACTCTGGTCCTCGAATAATACAAGTTCTGTACTGGTCCTTCAATAATACAAATTCTATACTGGTCCTCGAATAATACAATTTCTATGCTGGTCCTCGAGTAATATAAACACTGGTCTTTGAGTAATGCAAGAACTCTGGTCCTCGAGAAGTACAAATATTACCTCCTCAAATAATACAAGACTTCACTAATCCTCGAATAACACAAATAACACTGGTCTCATAATTTATACACAATCTCCTTAAGATATTTTTTCAAGAATATTTAAATACCTTCATGAAATCGATTAACATTTAGGGACCCACTTGTAAATTGATACCTTTTAGAGGTATAATTTATGTTTATAAACGAGACTGATAGAGTATTAGTCTTCTAAAAGAATCAAGCTGATGACCATAAGTCAAGATCATAACAAGTCTTAAAAATTTCACACACTCGACTGATATTGCTGTATTAATGTACAGAGTGATTCACAACTCGTGTCACTCCTTACAAACCTGACCAATATTAGGTGCTGTGTTAATGTACAGGGTGATTCACACCTCGTATCACTCCTTACAAACCTGATCAATATTAGGTTCTATAACTATAAATGTACAGGGTGATTCACAACTTGTATCACTCCGAGAAAGAGGTTGCAGCTGAGGTGATTCTAAACTACTTCCTTTGCGAACATCCCCATATTTGGGCCTCAATTTTTGAACTAACCTATGTCTGACCCTTCACGGACCACCTCTATATTTTAAAAAACATGAAAAACACGTAGTAACATCGCTGCACAAGCTACATCTTCAACCAATAAATAATAAGTGGCCCTCCGATTTAATCAAGAGACCAGTGTATCAAAGAATACTATTACAAAGAATTCAAAGAATATAACAGATTATAAAGAATAAGAAAGAGATAATACGAAATCGGTAACCGCTCGCACAAACTCTGATCCTTCTCTCCGCCAGCTCTGACGGTGTGGAATTTTTTTTTTCTGTTGCAGAGCCGAAGAAGGAAAAGACTGAACAGAGTGCAAATGGCGCGGTATCGCCGAGCGGTGATCCGCAAGCGAATCAGGGCACGGCTACGACCGGTAGCGTGTCGATTTCGGCCGCAGCCCCGAATTCGGGGGACCAGCAAAAGCCGAGTAGGCCGAACACCCTGGAAGCCAGGGTGGTAGCCAGGAGACTGATCTTGTTCGACAGTGAGTACTAGTTTCCACTCGTAAAATCGATCTTCTTAGATATTCCACAAACTTCACACCACATTGAAATTCTTCAAATCTTATATTTTCCTATTTTGGACTGTTTCGATCTGACACTGATATGAGAATTTTAGGATTGAAATTTTATATTAGAGGAATAAGTGTTGGGAGACTTTTGGAGTTATTTGGATGATTTTGAGGTTAGGGTGTTTGAGTGTTTGAAAGGTTTGAGATTAGAATTTTGGAGTTTTGGAAGTTAGGAATTTGGAGATTTGGAGATTTGGGGATTTGGGGATTTGGAGATTTGGGAATTTGGAGTTTTGGGACTTTGAAGTTTGGGGACTTTGGAGAGTTGGGAATTTGGAGTTTGGGGACTTGGGAGTTTGTGGGACTTTGGAGATTTGGGAATTTGGAGTTTGGGGACTTTGGAGAGTTGGGAATTTGGAGTTTGGGGACTTGGGAGTTTTGGGACTTTGGAAAGTTGGGAATTTGGAGTTTTGGGACTTTGGAGATTTCGGAATTTGGAGTTTGGGGACTTTGGAGAGTTGGGAATTTGGAGTTTGGAGACTTGGGAGTTTTGGGACTTTGGAGTTTGGGGACTTGGGAGTTTTGGGACTTTGGAGTTTTGGGACTTTGGAGATTTGGGAATTTGGAGAGTTGGGAATTTGGAGTTTTGGGACTTTGGAGGTTTGGGAATTTGGAGTTTGGGGACTTGGGAGTTTTGGGACTTTGGAGAGTTGGGAATTTGGAGAGTTGGAAATTTGGAGTTTGGGGACTTGGGAGTTTTGGGACTTTGGAGAGTTGGGACTTTGGAGATTTGGGAATTTGGAGTTTGGGGACTTTGGAAAGTTGGGAATTTGGAGTTTTGGCACTTTGGAGTTTTAGGAATTGGAAATCTTGGAATTTGGAGATTTGAGAATTTAGAGATTTAGGAATTTGGAAGCCTAGGAATTTGTAATTTTGGGAATTTTTAGATTTGATAATTTGGAGTTTTGGGAATTTGGAGATTTATGAATCTAAAATTCTAGGAATTTAGAAACTTGCAAATATGAACAAAATCAGTTTCTAAAACTTTGTCTCTCCAAAACTGTCACCTATCACACCTCACACAAAATGTCTCATACAATGAACATTCTCCAAACCGTATCATACATGATACATTACTCGATACGTATTTTAAGACATATCCCAAACTGTACTACCCAAGATATATTACACGAAACGTATTTATACAAGATATATCGCAAGCTGCATTGTACAAGAAAGCTATTACCCAAGAAATACACCACAGAATGTATCATCTGAAATATATAAAAGAAAACAGCGATATAAATCAGCAATTGCCAGCACCCGCAGATAAAGCAGTTACATTTTTATCTAGCCACGTCCTCCATCTTCCAGTATCGATTACAAAATGGCCGCTCGTAATCCCTCGAATTTCATTCGAGTATGTGAGAAAGGAATGATATCTTCGGCTTATGTACGGATTATCGATGATACAGATTACATCCGTTGAAACAATGGCTACTAAAAATGCAGAAGATGACGTACCGAAATATCATCGATATCCGTAAAATTACAATTTTTATTTTTATCAGAAAAGCGAATTTAATATCGCCACGGTTATCTTTTTTTGCCACGATGAAGCGTTTAATTCGCAGCGGCCGAAAAATCGTTGTTTCGTTGTTCACGGAAAAAATTTTTATATTGGAAGAGTCTAATGAATTCTCGCGAGAATTTTTTTCATACCCCTCGGTTAATTCACTGTTGAAATTTTTTCCGTTATTGTGATTTTTAATCTTGTACGTGGACAGAATATTAAAACGCTTAATGAAATTTTGATCGGAGATACACACGCTTGAGCTGAATTATTGCACTTGTGTGGTCAATTCTGGTTTCATTTTTGTACTTTAGTAACGTTTCATTGCTTTCGATTTTTGTGGTTTAACTTTATATTGCTTTCGAGTTTGTTTCTCTTTTAAACATTTTTAAAATTCTTTGACATTGCTGTGTGGTTTATACAAATGGATTTTATCATTTTTACTGTGCTCTTTTATTTAAAAAATATAATACAGATTATTGTAATAATACAGTAAGTATAAATAAATTTAGAAAAAATTGACTAATACAATTATCTGTGAAAATTAACAATTTTTACTCACAGACCGCTTCTAATAAATTAGTAATTCGATTAAAAAATCCTTAAAATAATTCTGTAAATATATTTATTTTGAACTTACCTTTTTAATAAGAAATAGTGCATATACAATAAACGTGAATGTACACTGACATTTGTAAACCGAAATATAAAACGAAAGAACAATAGAAACGTTTAAGTGCAAGTAGTAACAGCGTGTTTATGGTCAGACATGGTTCGCAGTGAACGTGACGAGAATTATATCTGCTTTCTAACTTTTAATAGTTACACGGCTTCAAGAGTTGTTTACAGTAAAAGTTACTCAACCTGAATACACCATGAAGGTAAATTTAGTAACTATTCAGTACAAAATGTTATCCATTACTGCTGTCGCTTTTTAAAATATAAAACATGATGAAACGGCGTTCACTGGGAAATTCAATTTGAAAACATTCTGAGAGCATTATTGTATTAAACATATTGAAAAACTTTTCGTTGGCATTTTATAATTACGTTCGCTTGAAAGGTACAATTACCTGCTGTAATCAGGTTTTAATAATTAAAAGTTTGCACGAGTTATTTTACTCTTTGTTTCTGTATGTGCGTTACGGGACATAATTTGATGCGAAATTAAAAAATATTTTGTAGGATTATTTTGTACGTACGAGGATTTGTAGGCTTAGAATTACCACGCGTTGGATTACTACGCGTTGGATATCCATACGCTGGATTACTACGCGTTGGTTAACTACACGTTAGATTACCACGCGTTACATTACTACGCGTTGGACTACTACGCGTT